AACAAATCAGTTTATCTGGTCCAATTGTATGTCCTTAAATACCCAAAAGGGAAGTATAACCAAAGATTAAAGGTGCCAATATAATTTCATAAGAGTCCACATGTATAGCTAAAGGCTACATAACAAGCAACAATGCCAGACTGGTGATACCTTCTTTTGAGTGTTAAGTTTTATATCCTGATCATTCATGCTGTTATATCTGTACATTCTAGTCAAATAACTTCTAGGCCATGTGAAAAGTTTCATATGCCAACAATGAGAAAATTAAAAGTCATACATCTATAATTTTTTTCTTTTTAATCTGATTTTTTCTGACCTGTAGACCATTTTCTTAAAGATTTAAAAGAAGGACCAATTTTTTAAAAAAGGATTTTAACAAATATTTTGTTACTCAAAAAGCTCTCAAATTATAAAGTCTGAGAACATGACAAGAGAATTTTAATACTTCCTAGTCTATGTGGTCTTATGCCTATAAATAAGTGGCAAAATATTTAACAATAGACCTTTTCACTGAAAAAAGTAATATGTATTATCACTGAGAAATGATTAGTTTTTTTCTGAAACACATCTTTTTAAATAGAGAAATCATTAAGGAGTTGGAAAGATGGCTGAGCAGGTAAGATCACTGGCTGCTCTTCTGGAGGTTCTGGGTAAGGTTCCCAGCACCTACGGGGTGGGGGGTGGGGGAGAGCCTCCATTAACTCCAGTTCCAGGGGAATTTGATGCCACCTTCTGGCTTCCCCCATTTTTGAACATACATGGTGCACTTACACACACGCAGGCAAAACACTCACCAACATAAAATAAAAATAAAATTCAAAATTCAAGAATTTTAAAAAGTGTTGTTATTCTTCAAGACAGATGATTCTTTCAATGGATTCAGACACTGTGAATTTACTTTGCTTTCCTCCAGTGGCTAATGTCACCTTCTCCCCTGACATGCTGCATTAACTTTCCTTCCTGAAGTTATAGATTATCAGGGGTAATGATGTAAATCAGTTTCATTGTGGAGGAGAAAGGACACAAGGAACATGTTTTTGTTTCCTCAGGCTAATGAAATCTTATAGACCTGATGCTAGAGATACTTCATAGATACATGCATAAAAATGGGTAGAAATAAATTCTGACAAAGTCAAATGTCATGAATTCAGATGATAGAAGAATAAAAAAAAAAACAGTAAAAAGAAGAAAGAAACAACCTAACACTGAATTACACAAAAAGTGAAGAGAATTAGTATAGGTTTGCTTGTTTCAGACTTAGGTTTTGCTTTTTGTTTTAGTGGGAGTGATGAATTGAAGCTCTTCAAAACAAACAGTTTGATAGCAAAGCAGCTGGTCAAGAGACTTTTATAAAGTTCCACAACTGGTCAAATGCAGAGAGTAAGTTTCTGAGAGATTCACAGCCCTTAGTGACACATCTATAGTGGAACCTCTACAACTAAGTTTCAGGGACAATAGTGGAACAGTGGGCAAAAATAATATTAGTGTGTCTCTCAATGATTACCAGAGAAGCATCTTCATTAAACAGATGGTGATTAACTCAGAAAATCAGTACTGCCCAAAGTGCATAGGATAAGAAACCAAACAATGTTTGTCTCTGGGTAGGGCACCTATATCAAACCTCTGCCACCACGCAGGACTCATGGACCATTGCAGAAGAGGGGTGAAAAGACTATAAGTAGCAGATTTTTCCAGGTCGCAGAGAAATTGCTCATATGAACTTTCAGCAATGGTGACAGCATGCATAAGACCCATACAAACTCAAACTAGACAAAAATCCCACATAGAACTGGAGAAACAGGTAAGAAGCCCCAATCTTAGCTGAGAAACTATTGACAACAGATGACTATTAGGAGAGGGAGAGTAAGTTTTCTTTAAGGGAGTGATGCTAGATATGTTGACCAGGCTCCAGTGGATGAACTCACTTCACACAATGGGACATTTGGAGACACAAACGTGACTTGAGAGGCATTAACATATGTAACAGAATACATGAAATCTGGTGGGGTACCTATGGGGGCAGTGAAGATAGGGAGGGAGTCTAAATATGATCAAAATACATTTTATGAAACTTGCAAAAATTTAGTTATAAAAGGACAAAAAAGAAGTTCCTCATGCCAGGCATCTTACTATGTACTATATAATGCACTGATCTCAGTAAACAAAGTCCTTTCCATAAATAAAATTTGAGCTTGTAATCTACTGGATAACAAAGATGATATTTAAAGAAATACATAACATATAAATAATGTGTGCAAATTTGGGGGAAGAAGTGAGATTTATGATCATAGATGTTAATTAGAGAATTAGGCAAGAAGGGGTTCTGTGTGATGACAGCTGAGCCAAACCTTTGCAAACATGAGTGAGACATACAGATTCAGAACTGGACCCTGGATGGGGATGGGGTTAACACATCCAAGGAATAGCAAGGCTGTTGGCTGGAGGAGTGTAAGGAGTGAGGCATAATTTGAAAGTGACAGTTGCTGTTATGAGACAGGCAAATAGCACATTATATGGGGCCTTCTTATAAAATTCCTAATACTGATCGAATTTAGTAAGATTCTATTAGTGAATTTAAACTATACAGCAAGTAACATACTCTTATGTAGGCTTTAGGAAATCACTATATTTGCTCTCTGGAGAACAGGCTGTAGGAAAGACAGAGGCCTATTGCTACTGTATTATGTAAATAAAAAGGATGGCAGCTTTGGTTCACAAGTGCCTGAATGACTATAGTCTGATACTGTATCCTACATAAAGACAGTTTCACTTCTTCAGTATACTCTTTCAGAAGGAGAAAGCAGAACATAATAAAATTCCACTATAAAACTAGAAAATGTAGACATGAAATTTTAGCTGATATAATTATATCTATATGCCTACAAATAGACTTAAAGCTATATATAATAACATCTTTTATATACCACAGTCACTCTTTAACACATAGAGGTCAGTAGAAATAGCAATATCCCAAAATATTCTTAGAAGCCTTGGAGCTTGAAGATGGAAAGCTCAGAAACTAGTGTACCAAGGAATTTTTTAATTTGAATAGAAGATCTGTTCAAAATTGATATCCTACTTAGCAATCACCTTCCAAATAGTACATATTAGATTTTCTTAATTACAATGTTCCTATCACAGCCGATTAACATTTCTCATTCTCCCTTATAGAAACCTTTATAAGTTTGTCTAACCTATCTACATATCTCTTTCCTTAAAGCATATCTATACACTGTGAAACAATCTCTACTATTGAAAAAATACGAAAATTGTTTATGCTCTATAAACACTAAACTTAAGGCTCACTTGTATTTAGTTTAAGAAAGTTCTCACAAACAAAATAATCATTGATAGACTAGGCCTACTGTGCTTCACTTTCATCTTCCTACACCATTAATCAGTGAGCATTCTAGGCCTTTTAACATAAACATTCTGACTGGAAAAAGAGGAGACTGACCAGATACTTTGGATCAGTTTCCCAGTAATAAGTTCCAGTACCCTCAATCTAAATGCATAGTCATCCTTTACCTTATGTGACTTTGATCAATATCTATTGTACATCACTGGTAAAGTAATATGAATTATAGACACCAAAATCAGTCTAAAAGCAGATAGTGAAACTTTCAAACATCATAGAACAAGATACTTTGTTCTCAGTTTGCCTCATCAAAGCTTTTTTCCTTTGGTGCTTTTAAGTGAATGTGTGCTTTCCTATCCCCTCCCACATTTATAATGCAATAGCCCTCCCTCAAATTTAGTATTTAGGTTTATACATACTAGATTTGTTACCTTCTAAGTCTGTAAACATATGATTAACATCAGTTCATCCATTGTCTTCCAACTAAAAAGAATCACTCTTACCGTGAAGCCCTCGGTATACTGAAAAGGAGCCCTGGAACTTTCGTCTGCTGTTGGACTCAGTGGCTTGGGGTCAGACATAGAACGCTGCATCATCTTGGCTGTCTTAGGACTTGCTGGGGGGACTTTAGCCATATCTGGATGGAGTACTTTCTGTGGACTTATGTCATCAGGGATGGGCTTTTCATAAGGTACAAAGGCTGATTCTAAGGCTTTGCCTGGTGAAAGTGGTGAGATGGGTGAATAAAGGACTTTTGGAGATTTGGGTGGGGAAGGAGCCAGCTGGACTGTGGAATCTGCCCGAAGGTGAGATGATGAATAACCAATCTCTAAAGGTGTTGGGCGTTTCTTGTCTTTGGGTGGAGATGTGGCACCCAGATATGGAGGACTTTGTGTGTCTGAATCTGCTTCTGTTTGACATCCTAAACTGCCCCCTTTGTAAGTCTTTTCAGGTGCTGAAATGTGTTTAATTATTTCTACCTTGCCATCCACCCGCGCTCGTATGGAAGGTGTTCTTATGGTTCCCACTGGTTCCGTTTGCACAGATATCTCTGCGACTGTCTGAACTGCTATGCTGGAGACTTTGGAAAGGGGTTTGGTCTTGTCAGCCTCTGCCGTGCTGTCTCCGTATTTCCCTACACGTGCTTTTCTCCTTGATCTAGAAGGCAAATCCCATTCATCCTGATCTTCATCATCAGTTTGGACACTGGTATCAACACTCTTTTTAGTTCTCCTCCTCCTGCTTGCATAACTCCGATCACCAGCATCTTCATCATCAGTTTGTACACCACTGTCCACTATCTTTTTAAAATTTCGTGGATCATCTGCAATGCTCTCCCCCACTTCATCATACTGTCCCCGGACTTTAGATCCAGAACCTCTCTTTTTTGGTGGTTTCTCCTCTTTTACAACAACATCTGTCAGTGGTATCTCCGAAACAGTGCTCAGGATGCCAGGTGGGGCAATGTACTGAGTGACACCATCAGACTGAACTGTGTACCATCCTTGGCTCTGTGGTATTTCAATAGCCACAACAGCAGAAGCGGCGGTGGTGGCATCTTCAGTGGCCCAAAACTGACTTCCCTCTGGGGCAACATACTGACCTTCTAAAATTGCCTGCTCAGTGGTGGTTTGAGGAGAACCAGTTCCAGAAGGGTCATAGTTATACTGGTAGATCTGACGAATTTTTTGCTCCTCAAGCTGCTGGTGCAACTGTTGTTGCAGCTGTTGGATCTGCTCAAGCTGTAGCTGTTGCTGAGCTAGTGTCTCCTGCCTCATCATGAACTGGGCCTGCCTCTCTTCCTCTTGCTGATAGAGAAGGTGCTGCTTCATGGACTGCAGCTCCTCCAGCTTTTTTTGAACCATGATTTTCTCTTGTTCTCGGAATCTCTGAATTTCCTGACGTTCCCACTCCAGTTCCTCAGCAAAGCGTTGTTGCTTAATTTTCTCCAATTCTAAGAGCTCCCGTTCCAAGTCAAGCTGCTGCTGTTGTTTGTCTTCTTCGGGGACAATTAAAAGGGTGCTTTCTTCTCCTACCACTTCAGAAAACACTTCAGATGCTGTGGTTAAAGTAGGAACAGAGTCCATTGTATCAGTGGGAAGAGTTTCCATGGTAATAGTTTGAAAACTGGCATTGATATCAATACTGGTTCCTGCAATGTCAGTTTCTGATGCACCTGTTGTTATGAAATATGATCGAGGCATTGGCTGGCTCTGGTGCAGGGCAGATAATGAAGTCACTACATCAGTTGTATGAACACCAGATAAATCCCTAACAGTGGTGCTGAAAATGGAGCCAGGCTGTGTGGTGATAGCAAATGTGGAGGGGATTGGAGTTGCTACTGAAGAATAGACAACACCATTAGATGACCTCAAAACACTTCCCACACCATACTGGGGTCCTGGAGGTGGAGTCATTCTTGCTGTGGAATACTGCGGGGTACTAATCCCAACTCCCGAAATGACTTGGCGTGTTTCTGGGTATGGACCTGTAGTCTTGCTTGAATAATCCATTACCTCACCTGAAATACAGGGTACAGTTATAGTCCAGGTCTCAAATGCATGGCACTTTTTTGGATCTGAAAGCCCTTTCATCTTGATGAGCGCAATGAATGGGACTGCATGCAAATCCACAGGTTAACCTAATTAGATGCAGAAGAAAAGCAATATTGAACATGCAGGCACATGCAGGCAACAATACTGACAATAAAATAAACCCTGAAGAAAAAAAATGCACATATACCCCAAAATATGCTGCCAAAACACCCAAAGAAAGCAAAAAGAAAACAAAAATGTGACAAAACCGGAGTAGGGATATTTTCATCCTGAAATGAGATGCCTAACATCATAATGACATTTCAAGGAAAGGTCTGTGGCCGTGTCATACTGACCTGTAGAAATTCTCCCTGAAGTTAGATCTACTGCTGCATCAGTTCCTCCAGAATAATCAAAAGCATTCTTACTTTTATAGAAAAAATGTCCAGCTTCTGCTAAGTTAGTGTCAGACATGGAAGGTTTCATTCCACCAATCCCTCTGTAACCATATGGCCCTGACCGATCATACTGATAGTGGTCATCTCTGTAACCAAAACGGTCTTCAGGAAGGGTAGTTGCAGGCTGTTGGGCTGTGCAGCTTCTTCCAAAAGGCAACTTGTAAACCATGTCACAGCACACAGCTCTTCTGCCCGCAGTCAAATCAACAGGTTTTTCATCATCTTCTATTATTTTGGTCACCACATTTGAAGTAGATTCATCCATGGCTACAATCGTTCTATGAGACTTTGTTGTGCTGAGATCTACTACTTCCCCATCACTGATTGCCTGAGATGTGGTGCTGTCAGTCCATCCATTTGTGACACCAACAGGAGGCGCAGTGACAGGCTTTGTAAAAGTGGATGTCACTGGCTGAGATGAAGAACCTAGAGATAAGTTTATTGGTGCTTCATCCTTAATACTAGGAAAGGCCTGGCCACTTGGCATCCTGTAGTGGGACTCAGGGTGTTTTGATGTAGTAAGTGGGAGTGGTGATGCCATTCCATGTTCTATACCGACTAGGCTCTCTGTGACTGTTGAGTAACTTGTAGTAGCTGTGCATGTGACAAGAGTCGCTGTCTCAGTGTCCAGGGTGACTGGAGTGACTAATGATGAAACTGCTCTGAGATTTATGATAGAAGGTTGGACAGCACTCACTTGTCTCCCATAAACTTCATTTGCAGTGGTCTGTCTTTTCATATCCATTGCAGAAGCTGAAAGATCCATACATTTTTCAGTTGCTTTAGCTTCTGTTTTTGGCATTGTTCTCAAATCAATGGCATCACCAACAAGTTGCAATTTTCCATTGTCCTTGTACTGAAGCTTATCTAGAGCAAGGGGCTCTTGGGGAATCGATATGGAAATGCTGCTGGGAGCAACACTTGGTACTGTACTTCTGGTTGCTGAACCTTCAGCCTTTGAGACTTCCATCGGGAGAAACTGTGTAAGTGACGCTGGAGCTCCTTGAAGTACAGATAGTGCTGCAGTGGGGGCAGCAGACCATGTCTCCAAAGCTCCTGACATATATAGGGTTGGCTGTGAAGAACTTGGGATTTCTGCAGCTGTCATAGACGGAACTACAGAAAACACTGTTTCAAGGGAAATCAGATCTTTTGGAGGTGATCCCAAGGGCCAACTGGTAATAGCTTGACCAACAGAAGAATCTGTTGGAGTCCCAGGTTCAGAGGGCAAGGTAATAACCACATAAGTTTCCATGAGGGATTTCGAATATCTTGGTGAGGATTTATTAGAGTGTGGGGAAAGTGGAGAAGTAGGGGAAGGCAATTTATAATCTGTCGAAGCCACTAAATTTAAGGACATATTTGAAGTTAAAGACAGGCCTGCTGGTTTGGGGTGTGCATCTGTTGTTTTCTGTGTGGTCACTGGAAGCTGAGGAACTGCTGGTTTGGGGGCAATTGGAGGTTTGCTTGGTTCAGGCCTATGGGTAAATACAAGTCCAGTGGGAATTGAAGATGGCTTAGGAGGAACAGGAGGAGGTACAGTGGCACATACTTTTGCTTCAGGTAACCCATTACTCCTCCGAACAGCTGTGGCCTCTACTGTAGTAACAGCATCAACCACAGTTGCAGCTGTAGTAGTTGGAGTTGCTGGAGCTGCAACTGTCATCTTTTTTTTAGGATGAATGGTTGGTTTAGGTGAAGTTGGTGGGGGCAGTGGTGGGGGAGGAGGAGGAGGTGGTGGAGGAGGAGGAGGAGGAGAAGGAGGTGATGGAGGTGGTGGGGGGGGGGGGGAGGAGGTGGGGGTGGTGGTTGGGCAGATATGTCCAAAGAAGAACTTCGGAGAAATGGATGAGATTTAGATGGACGGGCAGAAACAGGAGGGCTGCCAGATGGTAACTGATTTGTAGGTTTTTCTTGATCAGAGGTCTTTCCAGATATAAAGTATGTAGGTAGAGGCTGTTCCTTCACAGGAGCTGTTATTACAGAAGAAGGTTGTTGGACCAACCCAGTTTCACTTAAGCTAACTTTTGTTAATTCAGCCTCAGGCTCTTCCCTTTCATCTCTGTAAGCATCCAAAACTTCCAGAATAATTCCATCCCCAGTTTCCTTCTTTCTTTTTTTTATTAAATCTTTTTCTGATATAGGTAAATCATTGGAAGTAGTATCAGTTTGTGGCCCCTCAGCTTTAGTTCCTACAGATTCTCTGGTAGAAGGTTCCATATCAGAGAAGGAAATCACAATATGATCAGCACTAATTCTACTTTCTGGTGTGGTGGTCAGATCTAAAGACATACTTATATCTTCTGGATAGTCAATAATGCTGCCTGGAAAATAAGTTGAAGAAATTTCCCCAGAGTCTTCAAATTTAGTTATTATGTCTGTGGGCTCAGTATAAACAGTGGTTATGCTATCCAGGGTAGTGACAGGTGAGGAGCTATCTGTGGTGCAAACTGAAGAAATAGATGACGTGAGAGAAGGTGTGTCAGAGGGTGGGACAGATGTAGCACTTTCTGAAGGCTCAGAGTAGGTCAATATCAGAGATTCATGGGCAATTATTTCTTGAATTTCTCTTGTGTAATCAGTAACATATTCATCCTCAAGTTCTTCTGCTGAAAAATGTTGGGTTATTTTAACATCTGGGATAGAGAGAGTTGCACTGCTGGTTGAGTCTGTAAGAGATGCTCCTGACAGGATACTTGATGTCAAGGATGCATCTGGCACCCTGTCAAAGTCCATGGTGGACTCTGCCAGGTCATCCCCAATGGGAGGCTCTGTGGGGCCAGATCCAGGTATTACCTGTATCTGTTGGCACTTCATGAGTTCATCATAGGCAGCATCAGCATCTAGTAATTTCTTTTCTTCACTTGTAGAAGTCACCATGGTGCCCAGATCCACTATTTCATGGCTTTCTGGAATGATGTAAGAGCTTGAAACAATGTCTTCTTGAGGCACAGCAGAATGTAAGCTTTCTAACTCATAAAACTCTTTCTGGAGGTCTGTAATTTTCTGCATAGGGTCTTCATAAATCTGTTCTGGAAGTCTTATTTTTTGCTCTCTTCCTCTCTGCTGCAAAAATCCATTTTCTTCATCTTGCCTTGTTAGCAGACTGCCATCTACTGATCCATTGTATGTGTCCTCTACTAAAGATTCATAAATGTAGTCCTCTATTAACATACCACCATACAAAGGCTCTTTTTCAAATACTTCATCTCTCTCAGTTGCAGCTGGAAAAGCTTTATACTTGTGGGTTTTATGCATCATTTCTTCATACATCTCCTCAGCACTTTTTAATGCCTTCTGAACACCTTCTTTCTGCATAACAGATTGCTCATCTGTTGGTGAGTACAAAGACACAGCTGTGGGCAATTTGTAAACTTTTTGAACTTCTATTATTTTCTCAGGACTTATTTCGAAACCCTCTGGGTCTGATTCTATGCTAGGTGAGTATTCAGAACAAGAAGATCTGTGGAGCTCCTCCATTTCTGCGGCCTGACGCAATTCTTCTGTTGGAGATGCATCCTCGATGGGGGAGAGATTGCTGGGTGGTGTCTTTGGTCTTTCTCTCCTTCTCTGAGCTCGGAGTTCATCTTTGTCTTTTTTGGATTTCTTACTAGAACTCTTTCTTTGTTGCTGTTCTAGTTCTCGCTGCTTTTCTTGCTCTTTTAATAATTCTTCTTCTTCCCTCAGTTCTTCCTCCTCTGAAGAATCTTCGATGGTAGGTAAGAGAGGGCCATGTGATCTGTGCCGAGCTTTGCGCTGCTGTTTGCTCTCTCCTTTCTTGTGACTTGGGCTACTGTCACTGTCCTCATCAAGTGATGATACTGATGTTGGAGATGTCCCAGGAGTGAAGCTGGATGCATGGAGACTAGAAGAGCCTTCTCCCCTTGATCTGTCCTCAGGTGAGTCTGTCAGGCTTTCCATTTCTAATTCTGGCTCTTCATCAAAGTACAAAGCTGTTTTTTTCTGTGACGAATCTGCTGAGAATTTATCTGCTATGGTGCTGTTGAGTTCTATTGTCTTAAATCGGCGTAGCCCTCCTCCTCCAGCAATCACAAGTTCTTCACTCTCCTGACTTTTAGTTTCTCTGAATTTAAGTTCAGGACTTTCATCAAATGTTTCATCATCCTCATCATGCCATGAATGACGTCTCCCTGCATCATCATCGAAACTAGCGCTGCTCTTGCGAGTCAGCCGTCTGTGTTTCCCTGCCGCGCCTTTGCCTTTCATGTCTTCCTTCTTCTGGCTCTCAGGAATACTGCTAATCTGTTTGAGCTGGCTCCTGATGAACTCATCATCTTCAGAGCCAGAAGCATCTTCATCAGCACTCATTTCTATAATTTGCTTTCGAATGAAGTCCTCCTCCTCCCCGGAACCTTGACTGTCTTCCTGTTTATACTCATCACTGCTTGATGAGCCAACACTAGCTCTCCGTTTCCTCTGTGGAACAGGGGAGTTTTCACTTTCACTACTGTCTTCAACTGAATCGTAGGACTGTCTTCTAGTACTTAGGTCCTCAACGAGCTCAGGCTTTTCTTTATGGTCTTTCTTGGAAAGAATGCCTTGTTGATTATCCTTTTTTGAAGTGTCTTTCTTTTCTTCTTGACTCTCCCTGAGCTCCTCTTCTGAAACAGGCATTTCCAGTGTTTCAAATGAAATCTGAGTTTTCTTTTGGTCCTGAGGCTGCTCTGGAGAAACTTTAGGGGGCTGTGTTTTCTTTTCTGCTTTTTCATCAACTAGTGTACTTGCCTGAGCTTCCAAAATGGATAGTACTGTACTTTCCAACTTAGCTAAGTCTGAGGGGCTGGAAGGGCTGCTTTCTTGTGAGAAGGAGTCTTTTTTGAGTCCTTTGAGCAAATCTTTTTCATCACATGGAATAAGACTTGGAATTTCACCAAGAGAACTTGATATTCCATCAGAAGAATACCCTGTGTCACTCAGCCCTTGTGGGCTCTTGGGCTGCTGAGAACTGGAGGTGTCTGATTTGTCCTCTTCCTTTTCCTAGCAGAGAGGAAAAGACACAGACAAATTTAATAGAGTAGAACTAATCATATGGCCTCTCTAAATATTCCCAAACTGTCATTAAGAACTGAGAAATAATTATAGGACTATTTCTAAAAAAGTTTAAATAAGAACAAAAACTGATAGTTGTGATACACTGATCATAATTAGTTTTCATTTAGCTTAAGTTTAATTTGCAAGTTAATTCTCAAGTCACTTGATCTTTTTCCATTAACTTTATTATTCCCTTTTACATATCAGTTTCATTTTCTTTTAAATGTATTTCTCAGGATATTGACTTAGAATGAAGCTCAAACTGTCAAAAAAGTGTTTGTGTATATGTATGTGTTTGTATATCCATGATGGTAGTCCTGTTTTATCATTCTCTGCTTTATTCCCTTGTGACACGGTCTCTCACTGAACCACGAGCTTGCCCTTTTCTCCTGGACCGGGTGGCTAATGAGCCCATGTGGTCTTCCTGTCTCTGCCATCTGACTGGCCCCATCCATACCCTCAGCACTGGGATTCCAGGTGCTAGCAGCTACCCTTGGTTTTTACATGAGTGCTGGGGATCTGCACTCAGGTCCTCATGACTGTGTAGCAAGTGCTCTTACCCACTGATCCATCACCCCAGCCCAAGAAAAGCTTTAATAATTTTCATTAACATAATTAATGCTTTGGATTGTTATGGTTAGGCAAAAAATAAGAAATGAAGAACCACTGTATGTTTTGTGCTTGATTGCAAGTTGCCTGTGGTGGTAGAGACTTAACAATATAAGCAGATCATATAGTATAATATTACATGTGCCTCCTAATAGAAAAAGAGTTTTGTTTTGCTTTGTTATATGACTCAAAGAAGACACTGCTTTTTAAAGTAACACTTTAAAACTGGAAATTACAATATATTTGTTACTTGTTATTACTATTATATTAATGAATGCTCAGAAATTTTAAACTTTGAAAAATGTTACAATTGTTCTGGTTCATAAATTCAGCTAAAAAGACGTATTTTTCTGTAAAGTTTTTAATTACATTTGTCTTCAGTATTCTACTTCAAAATGTCTTCACAATATGGCTTTTGTCATTTGATTTTGACACTTGATGCTTCATACAAAAGGTAGAACCTTTCAATCAATATAATAACTGATTCTGAGAATGGGAATACAGGGTTTCCAAGAAGCTAGAATACTCAGTAAGTACACCATAGCCTTGACATAGCTACTTTTCTTGTGCTGTGATGAAGCCATGCCAGCAATTTTAATTCAGGAAACAGAGAAGCCTTTAATAATATGTTAAACACTGGACACGTTTTGCACAACAACGTTGCTAATAATTCATCATAAATTTGAGTAAAAAGAAGTCAGCTGTTTCAGGTTGTGTCCATGCTTAGGGTAGAGCTTCACAATAGTCCTCTAGACCTCAGCAAGGGTGCCTAGAGGGAACACTGCATGACAGCTCACTGCATCTTACTCTAGCCAAAGAGGTTTCACTAGGTTTATATTGTGAACAGTCTTGATGTATAACAGTGGATGTACGGACAACCTCTTTTAATTTATTATCCAAATGAATGAATATTTGTTATATAACTAACAAAAAACATGAAAATATATTTCCACCCTCCATTATTCCTCTTTTCTCTTTTCTTTCCCCTCAATTTCCTCTGAGAAATAAGTACGAAACATGTTGGCTTGTAAATCACCTTATGCTAATTTTCATCTCAATATATACTTCAGTATTTATTCTTATTGTGTATAGCTAAAATATATATGTTAACCATAATATAAAATGTTATGGTTAATTTACAACATGATGACCCCAAAAAGAAAATCTGATACAGTTTTAATACATTTAGTACCAAAACAAACAAACAAACAAACAAACAAACAAACAAACACAGTGCCTATTCTTGGTTTACCAAGGCTTAACCTGTATTGTTTAATCTAAAGTTGTAAGACTATGTTTAAGGGATGTTGAGCACTCCAGTCTATTTGTTTTCTTTGGGGGGGTTGGTGAACTATACATTAAGGAGGCAAAAGAAGGTAAAACAATCTCCTTGTAAAAGAGTGTCCTGGAGGGACACTGCTGTCTCATCATATCACACAGAGCATTTTTTAGATAGTGTGATATGCTGTCTACAATTTCTTTAGTTAGAGCCATCCACCCTTCACTCACTCGCAGTAGATATCATTACCATGGCAACAGAATACTTAAACTCCTTATAAAAATGGGCAAAAAATGATCTTTCATAGTTGAATTTCAATAGTGTCATTTTGATACTTTATTTTGTGCATATATCTATGGTAAAATGCAAAAATATAGTAAAAGTTTATATATGCAGGTAAGGTAAATATTTTTTGTAACAATTCATTGGACATGGTAAAAATATTAGTTTTATACAACGATTTTGATGTCTCTACCGACATTTTACAAAAACAGGATTATGACCAGATGTACAGAATGTAATAAAGAAAATCAGAAGGATTTCATGAGAGGTTAGCACAGAACATCAGAACCTCTTGCCCTGTGCCTGCCTGTGTGTGGCCTCGCTCTCTGCTATGCTTCCTTGACTCTCTGGTACCCTTCTGGTCCTGATATGTTTCTCCACACCTTTATGGGGTTCAATCACTATGTGTCTGCAGTAATGACTTTCCTATTCTATGTTAAAAGTAACAAATCTTTAAAGTATTTGCTCTATGGACTTGTGAATATAAGATAAAATGCGAGGAGTGGTTAATCAGGAAATCAATGAGCTGATCAAAATTCATTTCATTGACATAAAGGACTAAATCATGCTACATTTATGACATATTGAAAAAATAATAATATTAATTTTTCTCACATTAGCTTTAGGTCTGTAGTCCCTTCACAGAGGACTAGGTTAAAATATCCTAATTAACAACATAGTTCACTTTTTAACCACCAGGTGACATACCTCATTGTCTCATTGACTTGAAGCACCTGCAAATTAATTTTTACTACTGCTACTAATAGATTTTTAAAAGATTTCTGAGTATACAGAACTTGAAATCCATCTATCCTTCTTGTAGTTAGTCTATTCCTTAATACTGCTTCATTAATACCATTTATTAACAAGGTCAAAATAGATCAAATTATATGTGTATATGTTGGACCTTGTTTTCCTAATTATTCATCTTCAAAATGGGCACATCTGAGGTACCATATACTAGGATATGAGCAAATGATTCATGTGAGGCTGAAATAATTTAGTTCATTTTCTTACTAATTTCTTATTATATAGGACTAAAAGATTGGGAATTTTCTTTCAGTTGTTCAAAATTTTGTGAGACTATACTTAAAAATATTAAGATATTTAGTGAAATATATTCTAATGATGGATTAAAACAGCTCTTTATATAACATATTTAATGCATATACATACACATAAACATTACTGATTTTAGATTTTATTTATTCGTGTACTTCTCTCATTTGAATAATCAGGAAATTGACATTTTTATTATCTGTTTCACAGTTTACATAGAATGCCACTTAGAACAACCTCTGAAATTCTTTTTTTAAAGATTTATTTATTTTTATTATGTGTATGAGTATTTTGCCCACATGTATGTATGTGCACTATGTGTGTGCTTGTTGCCAATAGAGACAAGAGAGGGCACTGGATCCCTGGAACTGGAGCTACAAAGGGTTGGTAGCCACCATTTGGCTGTTGGGAACCAAACCCAGGTACTCTGCAAGAGTACCTACTGTTCTTAATTACTGAGCCATTTCTCCAGCTCCTGAAATTCATAAATAATAATAAAATTCCAAGTATGTTTCTTTTGCATAAAAATTTCATCATTTTTGATGAAGTCAGGACAACAGTTATACTTTAGGCATAATTTTAAAACATCAATGTTATTTTTCATTTCTCATGAAGAAGCATTTTCTGTGTATATTTAATGTGTTCCATTACACTAGTCTTTACTACATATTATATGCTTTTCATGCATAGAACTAGAACTATTTGTTTTTCTACTCTCTCAATATGAAATAATTACTCAGGGGCTGGAGAGATGGCTCAGCAGTTGTTCTGGCAGAGAACCTGGGTTTGGTCACCAGCAAACCCAGGTGGCTAAAACTGTCTGTAACTCTAGTTCCAGGGGACAAACTCAGGTGGCTAAAAACTGTAACTCTAGTTCCAGGGGACACAACTCTCTCTTCTGACCTCCATGAGATTGCACACACAGGTGCACTTACATACATTCATGTGAAACATTCATACACATGAAAACAATTTTTTTAATTAATTACTTAAATATCCAAATTCAAGCTGGAACTGAGGAATCTCTTTTCCTGCTAGCCATCATGTTTTCATTTATTCAACTCTAGACCAGTCAGAGAAAAGCAGTGATGAATTGACCCCTAATTGACATTCCTCCGATGCTGGAGTCCCTTGTGGTGTATGAATGATAGAAACCAAACCAAAACACACATGTACTGTCAAATTTGGCTGTGATCTTCCCACAAGTGTTGAATCCATTAGCATTCTATGCTGAAGGAAAACAGGTTTCTGAACACTTCTATGGTTAGGAACTGAGTTCTAGGTTATATATAAAAATGTGCAAAGAAAGATTACAAATGCTTGGCTAATTTTTCTAAAGATGTTTCTTTTAGATAAACTAAAATGAATGAACAAATAAATGATCTTTAATCATTTGCAGAAAGTTTATTTTAACATTTCATGCATGAGTATCTAAAGCATTCCATATAAGATCAAGTCCATGAGGCCTACTCTTCCTGAGAAAATATCATATAATTCACAAGAAGATCAGATTATTTTTCACCTAGATGATGCAGGCATGGGATGCAATGTCTACAGACTACTTCACTATTAACACTACAGATATTTTTAAAAAAATCAAGATCCATGATGAAAGGGTTAGATAATGTGAGAGATAAATAATGCCTAGCTAGTTTTAAAAACCAGAGGGAACAATATTAGTCCAACAACCTACTGACAAATTATGCATACCAGATCA